AATTCTTGGGACTGGCAAAAAAAAAAAGAATAACTGTCTTGGAAAGAGGCCAAGTCAATTAAAGACACACTTCAAGACACTTTAACCAGCATGGTGTTAACAGAAAACAAAAAAAAACCTCCAAACTCTGTAAAATATTTAAAGAGGTTTATTCTCAGCTGAATACGTGCAACCATGGCCCAGGAAGAAAATGCACCTGAGGTGGCCGGGTTACACTTTGCTTTTATACACTGATGGAGATAAGAATTACAGGTAAGGCCGGGCGTGGTGGCTCACGCCTGTAATCCTAGCACTCTGGGAGGCGAGGCCGGCGGATCATTCTGAGCTCAGGACGAGACCAGCCTGAGCAAGAGCAAGATCTCATCTCTATTAAAAATAGAAAGAAATTGGCCAAACAACTAAAAATAGAAAAAAATTAGCCGGGCATGGTGGCGCATGCCTGTAGTCCCAGTTACTTGGGAGGCTGAGGCAGAAGTGTTGCTTGAGGCCAGGAGTTTGAGGTTGCTGTGAGCGATACTGACACCCCGGCACTTGCCCCAGGCAAGAGAGTGAGACTCTGTCTCAAAAAAAAAAAAAGAATTACAGGTAATTCCTAAATCAATACACGGAAGGTAAACGTTGGTTTGGCCTGAAAAGGAGGGACATCTTGCAGGGGTGCTTATAAGTCATAGGTAGGTTTTCAGGATTTAATTGGCAATTGGTTGAAAGAGTTAAGCTTTGTCTACAGACCTGGAGTCAATAGAAAGGGAGGCCTGAGTTAAGATATGAGGTCTTCTATCTGTCACATGATACTAAACCGGAATCAGGATGGAAAGTAAGCCACATTATACAGGGTTAATAAAAACCCGTTTAATGAATTCTTAATGAATTCTTACCATTTATATACAGGACTGATCAGAATTCTTAGAAAGGAATTTGGGCAAGAGAAAAAAAAAGGTCAGAGTTCAGTCCCTAATGTCCTCAGTGGATACAAGTTACTCACCTTTGAAGTCACCAAGTCCATAGCTCCCATTTTACACAGCGCACATTCCTTTTGAGGAACACTTAATAAATATTTGTTCCTTGTGTCCCTAACTACTACCTCTTTCCTTTTTCTTAACGATCTCCAGAATCGCCAGGTGAAACTGAACCCAACTCCAAATTTAAAAATGGCTTTTAATTTTCTTTTTTCTCTTATTTCTTTCTTTCTTCATCTTTTAATTTTTTAGGGTCTTCCGGTGAGGACTGGAAAACCTGCAAGACAAATTCTAAAAGAGTTGTAATACTTATTTTTTATTTTAGAGACAAGAGTCTCACTCTGTCACCCATGCTAGAGTACAGTGGTGCAATCATAACTCACTGTGACCTTGAACTCCTGAGTTCAAATGATTGTCCCACCTCGTAGGTGGGATTACAGGCACACACATCCACACCCAGGTAATTCTTAACTTTTCTCAACCAAAAAGTTAAAAAAGAAGACTTTAGTCTTCTTTCCTGAGATATGGGTTCAATTAATGAAAACTCTGGAAAAGGACCAGAGGTCATTGTTTTCTTCTTTGGTAAGTCTGGACTGTAGGCAGACAAGGCAACTTCAGAGAGTCCCATGCTTTGGGAGAGACAGTAGGGAGTAGACAGTAGGGGGTTCAGAGAGACCTTGAGGCTTCCAGCGGTAAAAAGTGCCATATTTGGGGGTATTTGAGCCCCAACACCAATAAAAACATCCTAACTGATAGAAGCCAGACAGATTTGTTTCCTTTTGTTTTTTCAGTCTTTTCTTTGCAAAGAAGTAAGCATAAGCCCTCAAGGGCTTATGTTATTTACATGCCTCCGATGAAGTTCAAAGGACAACCTTGCTTAGGAATTTCAGGACAACCTGGAAAAATAACCGGTTGAGAAATAGATCTGTTAATCTCTTTTCCTTCCCTCCGCCCCTCCCTCTGGCCCGCCTTTCTTTGATTAACTAGGCTCTAGGACACCTTTTGAAGAAGACTCCCTGCTGTGTTTAGAATCATTCCTAGAAAGCTGAAACCTCAGACTCTGTCTCCAAGATGCACCTCAGTGCTGCGAATCATCGCATACCTCTAAGTGATGGAAACAGCATTCCTATTATCGGACTTGGTACCTTCTCAGAACCTCAATGGGTAAGTTTCCTCTCTCTTTCTCTCTTTCTTTTTTTAACACTTGCCTGCAGAATATTTGCCATTCATTTTAAGTGGATCTCATTGCTTTTCTTCTTACAATAATGAAAGTAACCTCCGAAGATGACTGTTTGCCTGAATAGGTATTGAACCAAAGTTTAAACTGAATCAATGAATGATTAAAAATTAGTTTGGATTAGAGAATGAGATCTTTCTGCATCCCTTACTGAAATTCAGCAAAATCTGATTACTATAGTAAACTGAGGCACATGAAATTTGTGTGTTTATGGCTTGTGACTTTTGTTACATTTGAGAACTTTTAGTTCAGCCTAACAAACACTTAGTGAATCACTGTCCTACATTAACTATTTAGGCTATAGAAGCTTCAAATATGAAGAGAATAGTATCTGTTACCTAGGGATTAAAAATTGAATAGAGGCACTCTTTAACAACTAATTGTAGAACAATGACATGAAGGAGCAACGCTATCCTAGAAATGTAAGTAGTATCTCTTTGAAAACACGGGAAAGGGATTAATTAAAATTGGCCATAAAGATTGAAATGGGCTTCCTTTAAAACTTGGTAAAGTTTCAGTTTATAAGAGGAATATCTTTCCTCATTGCAGTTCAACATTTCATGCTGTTTACCAGAATAAACAGAGGCATGTGTGGAAATGCTACTGAAATTTGAGTGATCATGTATGAGTGAACTCTGTTCGGCTTAGTATGAATTAGCCAGGCAAGGAAGTAGAGTTGAGGCAGGACATTTTAGGAAGAAGGGAAAGGTTACAGGTTATGCCCAGGGAAGGCGAAGCCCACAGTGGCTGACACACGCAGTTAGGGTGAGGGCAGCTGATGTGAAAATGCAAATGGAGACTGGATCACCTGGGACCCTGAATACCTTGCTAAGGAGTTGAGACTTCATTCTGTAGAAATGAGAAATCATCTAAAGTTTAGAAGAAAGAAATAGTATCACCAGATCTGTGTTTTAGAGATAACTCAGGTGGCAGCATGAGAATGGAAGGCAGAGGAAGAGAAATAAACCACCAATGTCAAGAGTAGTTAACACTTGTATCACAATCCTACATTCCACTTTAGTTGCCCACTTCCCTTGTTTTTGGTAATGCGAAGGAAAATTACTCTTGGAACAATTACATGAGTCTGTGTCGTCGGTCCCTTTCTCTTCTTTCTTTGTACATTGTCTATATGACTTTATTCATGATCTTGGCTCCAACCACATGTATGCACAGACTCCCCAATTTATATTTCCTATTCTTTAGCCGGGCATGGTGGCGCATGCCTGTAGTCCCAGCTACTCGGGAGGCTGAGGCAGGAGGATTGCCTGAGCCCAGGATTTTGAGGTTGCTGTGAGCTAGGCTAACGCCACGGCACTCTAGCCTGGCCAACAGAGCCAAACTCTCTGTCTCAAACAAAATAAATAAATAAAAAAATAATAAAAACACAAAAATATATTTCCTATTCTGTTTGTTATATCTCCCCCATACAGCTATGGACTGGCTACATCAGAACCACATTGTACATTTTTTTAAAATACAGATTCTTGGGCATCACCTTCAATCTACTGAATTTAGATCCCTAGGGAGAGGGCCTGAGAACCTGCATATAACAAGCTCCTCTGGTAATTCTGATATACAACTAGGTTTGTAACCACCTTCCACACACACCTCTAACTCAACACGATAGGACCACACTCTTCTATCTCCTCTTCCCCAAACAATACTTGTTGTAGCAAGCGACACTGCCACTCAGCCACCCAAGAATATATGCCTTCATTCTACCCTCTTCTCCGCACTACATCCAAATGATTACTGAAGCTGTGTTGATTTCCTATCCAAAACAGTTCCCAATTCACACCCTCCTCTATATCACTACCTTAGGTTAGGTTCTCGTTTATCTTTGGGCTTTTCTTTCAGTTTCATCCCCTTCCAATTAATTATCCGGACTAGGACCATCAGGATGTTCCTCAAACCCAAATCTGATTGTGTCATGCCTCTGCTTAATCATTTCAGTGGCTCCCCATCAATTATAGTCCACATTCCTTCCCTTGTACCTTCCCTTTATGGTTTAGCCAAGACCAGTCCTGTCGGTGCAGCTGTATGGAGCACCACTCTCCCACCTCTCCTACATATAAAACATTACCTACACTTCTCGAACAAAGCTTCCATTTCCATGCCATTGAACATGCTGCCCTCTACCTGCGACACTCTTTCTCCTGGTTTGCTCATTTGTCTAACTTCTACCACATCTTCATGACTCAGCTCAAGGGATATCTCTTCTCAAAAACCCATCTCTCAGCCCCCACACCGTGGCCCTGCTGTGTGTTCACATAGCCGCTTCTGCTGGACTCTCACAGCACCTACCACACTGGCGCAGTGAGGGAAACTTGCCCTTAGCACTCTGAAGCTTCGCTGGAAAATCAAGTCACAAAAAGCACATTAATTGCAGACAAGGCATACGAATTTATTTAACATGTGCATGCACAGGAAGAATCACAGAGTGATTGCCCACCTCCCAATGGGGTTCAGAAGCTTATATACTGTTGGGGCTCGGAAACCAATATCCCAAAATATGGTGTACTGACATGCTGAGTTGAAGAAGCCTCAAGGTCTCTCTGAACTTCCCCATAACACCCTCTACCCATTGTCTCTTTCTAAGCATAGGATAAAGTTGTTCTCTGAAGTTCCCTTACCTGCCTAAGATCCAGACCCACCAAGGAGAACAATTGTTTTTTCCTCCCCCTCCCCCATTATCATATAGCAGAAAAGAAGACCCAGGATATATCCACACCTGAACAGACTCTTGCCCAAGATAACATGTATCTCTCATTTATGGCCCCTCAACAGAATTCCTCCCCGCTCCCTTCCCGTAACCTGTCTGTCTTTGGCCATGCTCAGAGCCCACATTCATTCTGTAATCTCAAAATGGCATATAAGCTCCTGTATCCCACTCAGAGGTCGAGTCTTCATTCTGAAGGCGCTCATGCACACACGTTAAATAAATTTATATGCCTTTCTCCAATTAATCTGCCTTTTGTGACTTGATTTTTCAGTGAAACTTCAGAGGACCAAAAGGAAGCTTCCCTTGGCCCCTACAATACTATCCTGGCAAAACAGGTTATGGGGAGGGGGGAAAGAGGAATTCTGTTGAGGCGCAATAAAGGATTACTAGGGAGAATGAATGGATCCTGGAACAGAAATTAACTTGTAACTAGTTATCTTTGGCAGTGAAAGGGTCTGATAAGGTATGGTTACATTCCTGGTCTGACAGGGAGGGGAAACAAAAACAATACTTCTCCTTGGTGGGTCTGGATCTTAGGCAGATAAAGGCTTTGGGAAGTTCAAAGAGACCTTGATCCTTCAGTTCATCATGCCACATTTTCAGGTATCAGTTTCTCAGCCCCAGCAACACTATATTGTAATCATTTCTTCTCTGCAATCTTTCTCACTAGACTGTGAAATCCATTAGGAAAGGGACCATGGTATTAGAAATGATCATGCATGCACCAACCACATTTGCGATCAGAAATATTACCAGTTGTAAAGTAATGTATGGGGTTTATGAGTATACCTCACAAAATCAGAAACTCTAATGTGAAGAAAAATATGTAACATGTGTCTGGAAGATTCGGGGTAGGGAAGGGGTAGAGCTGGGGTAAGGGGGAGATGGCAGGTGGGGAGATGGGAGCCTCTCAGATAGGGCAGACTCAAGGCTTTCTGTCCCAAGTCACATGACTCACACTCTTTAATCATCCAACCCAGGGCTGGTGAGGCAGAGGCTAGGATCACCCATGCCCAATTCTTCCACTCTGAAATAAAAGTACTAAATTAGATTTAACTTCAGAATCAGACTTAGTCCTAGAGATGGCGTCGGATTCCAAAATTTAGTCCTCTCCACTTGGCATGCATGAGATTCTTTCCAAAACCTTTCATCCCACAAGAGGTAGAAGGTGAATGCCACTTTCGGGTAACTCTTTCACATGCTTTGTGTGTATGGCCAAGTCTGCTGGTATTTGTCATAGGATTCCCTTTTAGTTTCGATATGGCAGTTAGAGAGCAGCAGGGTGTGTGTCCTCGGGGGGCGTGGTGACTGGAGCAGAGGCTTGTGTATGCTGTGAGATATAGGTCCAATTTCAGTCTAAAGATAATTCTAATACTAGGTGTCCATGGTTCTGTTCAGGCTCTCAATTGTTTCTGCCAGTTTTCCCTTATGGAATCTTGTTTTCTTGAGCACCTGGATTCTCTAACTGTGTGCAGATCAATACCATGGGGGGAAAAAAGTTTTTGTGTTTTTTTTTTGGAGACAGAGTCTCACTCTGTCCCTCAGGGTGGGGGCGTATGGGGTGCAGTGGCGTCACCATAGCTCAGCAATTTCAAACTCCTGGGCTCAAGTGATCCTCCTGCCTCAGCCTCCCAAAGTGCTAGGATTACAAGCTTGAGCCACCTTACCCGGCCTAAAAAAAAGTGTTTGTTGGCATGCCCAAAGGGCAAAAACCAAGTATTTTCTTTCTTTCAGAGAACATTTGTGTTTGCTTCCTACAGGTTCCTTGGGGGCACTGCTACCTGATAATCACATCAAACTGGTCACAAAACTCCGGCCATATGGGCTTTAAATTCTCTCAGGGACTACAGGTGGCCATAGTCTTCTAAGGAGTGTTTTACTTTCCTTTTTCATCTCCTGCACTCCTCCCTCTGCATTCAGACTTTCCCCCCAAATTTAGAAAA